AAGTGCTAGGTGTGAGCTGTGAGCTTCCAGCAGAGGCCTTCAGAGGTCTGAGCACCAGCAACGCAGTGTGGGAGCCTCAGTCCCCCGCCCCCACCCCCCATGAAACACACATAATAACTGCACCTCTGTGTAAAGAACAGAAACCTCCAGAGTGTCAGACTGAATTCCTGAGGCCCTTCCCAGTATCTGTAGGCCAGGTTTCCTCTCTGATCTTGTGTGAAGAATGATGAATAAGAAAGGCTGTCCTTGGATCTCTCAGCTACCTGGAGGGTGGAAGGCTGAGTCAGATATGATTTGGAAAAATGAAGGATGAAACATTTCTTACATGTCCAAGATTATGGAGCAAATGCAAACCAATTGCATGCATAGGTACTTTATTTACTTACTTTGGGGGCGTGGTGGAGGAATTGCATAGAATTTTCATCAGATTCGTAAAGGTATCTATGACCTGAAAAGAGTTCAAAACTCCTGCTTTAGGAGATAGAGGGGTGTTTTTAGTTTGGGCTCCCTGAGAGAATGATTTGTGCGCAAGTGATTTATTAAGAAAATGCTCATCAAGGAGATTAGCATGAGTGGGCAAGACTGCCAGGAAGAGGAGGAAGTTGAGCAAGGGTAAGGTCACAGGTCAAGTCCAACAGAGGGTAGCCTTGCCTGATCTTGCAAGGCACCTGGCTGGCAAGTCACATCCACCCTGTGCCCAAGGCAGTACAGGCAAGAGGGATGGGCTTCCACACTTTCTTACTTTTAAGCCATCAATCAAGGACCAGGAAAGGGGTGTAGAGATGAACTCCCAAGCACTATTGAGAAGAGAAGATCTCTGCATGGCCTCTGGGATCCTAAAATCAGTTACCCCCAAGAGCTTCAAATGCTGTGAATCAGAATTAGATGCACAGCAAAGCAGTGAGGGAGTGTGTACTTGTGGGATCTGAGTGGGAGCCTCAATATTGTCTTCTACTCCCCCTGAGAGGAGGTGTCCTTAAAAATGTATTGTAACCAGGGGGTCAAGAATGCCAAGGAAAGAGGAGATCTACCAGAGAGTGGGGATCTAGAAGAGGTAGACTATGGGTACCGCCCCAGAACAATGTGTCTGTAAGTCTAGAAGATGCTCTCAGCAATCTCTCTTCTAAAAATCTGTTGGTCTTTCCCTCACAAGAGCTTCCCATTTCTTCCGCCAAGCCCTGGGCTCTGGCCATGTTGCTGGCCCGTGCTTCCCCCTTCTGGTTCTCCCTCCTGCTCACAGCCCCTTTCCCAGCACTTCTCTCTTCCTGGGTCACCTTACTAGTACTTTTTTCTTCTACAATATAGAGACATATGGTTCTTTTTGTTTTATTCCTGGTCCAGCCAAGCTATGCCCAGTGGGCCTCATTTTCATAACCAAACATACCCATATAAGGTGTGTTCTGAAGCAAAAAAAGTTCTCTCCCTGAGTCTGTAGTCTGCACTTCATGTGATTTTTCCTCCTCCCTATTACCTATGTAATAGATATGTAATTTGTGTGTGTATGCGCATGCACACACACACACACACACACACACAGAGAGAAAATGAGGTCCAGAGAGATGGGAATTTGCCCAAGGTCTCTTAATTAATTGGTGATAGACTCAGAACAAGAACTCAAATTCTTAATTTTTTCTTCAGTATTCATTACCTCCTAACATACTGCCCCCAGAGTGTTCAAGCATTTTATATCAACAGTAATAAATATAAAGTAGATTTTTAGGGGAAGAAATTCAAGCTAAGTGCCAAATGCTTTCCATAGCTACATGGATATTTTTTTCTGAATCTTGGGGGCTAAAGCACATGGTATAAATGTGTGAAAACAAATTGGTATACATTCCAAAATAAAGCAAAAGAACCCTTCCATGTGGTGACAGATGATTCTACAGGGCTGCAGGGGACTGTTCAAAGGGACTATTAATTTGAAAACCTTATAACTTCAATAACTTTCTTCACTCAGTATTTTTTATTTTACTAGTTTCATCAGAAACATAAAATCATGGATCATAAAGTCGAAGGGGGTTTTAAGCAGGTAAACTGATTCACTTTTCTACCTTCAAATAGAGACAGGTATTCTTTTTTTTTTTTAAATTTTTTATTGTTGGTTGTTCAAAACATTACAAATTTCTTGATATATCATATTTTACACTTTGATTCAAGTGGGTTATGAACTTCCATTTTTACCCCATATACAGATTGCAGAATCACATCAGTTACACATCCATTGATTTACATATTGCCATACTAGTGTCTGTTGTGTTCTGCTGCCTTTCCTATCCTCTACTATCCCCCCTCCCCTCCCCTCCCCTCCCCTCCCCTCTTCTCTCTCTACCCCCTCTACTGTCATTCATTTCTCCCCCTTGTATTATTTTTCCCTTTCCCCTCACTTCCTCTTGTAGAGACAGGTATTCTTATCTCCATTGCCAAAGAAATCAGGTGAGGAACAGAAGTTCCTATATGGGCTGAAGGGCAACTTAAAGCCTACATTTCCTACTTCCTCATCTCCAGAAGCCACATCTAATATGGTTCCTTACAGATTGCATACTACTTTTCACATGCTGCTTTATATATCCTCACACATAATAGGTCAATAATTACCTCATTTTACAGATAGGTCAACTGAAGCTTGGAGACATGAAGTAACTTGCCTAATTCCCCATTTCCCAGTTCATAACATGGTTATGACTAAACTTCAAATTCTCTGCCTCCAAATTCTATACTCTTTATCACTCTGTCCAGGTGTTGTCAGTACTGGGATTGAGTTTTGTTGGCCCACTGGTTTGGAATATTATAGACAAAAAGAAAACTTCGCTAAACTGTGAGTTGCTGCAGGTAGGATCCTACCTTTATGTAACAGGAAGTCTTGGATGGACAGGCAATGAGTCTCAAGAGCTTCTGGTGATTGGGTAATAATTCTGTGCTACTCTTTGTTCCAGCGTCCTATTTCCCAGTGGAAAAGTCCCTGTCCCTGCCCTCCATAGTTTACATTCTTGTAAGATGGGAAGCAAAAAATGAAATGTAAAATATGGCAAGTGGTGCTATGGGAAAATTAAAGCAAAATAAGGGGACTTTGGAGAGAGAGAGAGAGAGTATAAGAGGAATGTGAGTTCTGATATATCTAAGGTGTTCAGGAAAGGTCATCATATAAGGCCACATTTGATAAGGTACCTAAAAAAAGTAAAGGAGCAAGTTTTATGGACATCAGGGAGAAGGTACTCTACATAGAGGAAACTTCAAATGCAAAGGCCCTAAGGTATGAGCGTGGTGGATCTGAAGAACAGGAAGGAGGCCAGTAGGTCTAGAAATATTGAACAGCCATATACTTGCTTTTGCAGAGAATGGAAAAGAATCAGAAGAGAAAACATAGGTACAAATATTTGAAAGAAAGAATAATACAAGGTGCTATAATTTGTATATTCTTGTTTTTCTAGAGGTTCATGTGTTGGAAGCCTGGTCTCCAGGGTGGAGTCCTGAGTCTCCCTTGGGTTTCCCATATGGAGATGTGATTCCTTTCTCCTGCATGTGCTTCATTACCCACTATAGAGCTCCTGCTCTTCCAGATTGTGTGGACTTTTAGTTTCCCAAAATATGAGCTATATGAACTTCTTTATAAAATTTTCCAGTGTCAGGTATGTTGGTTTAATAATGCAAAATGGACTAACATACAAGGTCAAATTGTATATTCTAGAGATACATAAATCAAGTACTATGGGATTGCCTAGGAAGTAAAGGAGGCTTAGAATCAGAGAGAGTCAGCACTTGATTCTCTCTTCCAAGATTTCCACGTTCATAACTAGAAAACAAACTGTTTTCAAACTTTATCTTATGTGGGTTTCTGATGGAATCAGAATACTTTGGTTGGAGTGAGGGTGGGGAGGTTTAGCCTTCCCAACTTGGTCTCACTTTTTCTCATCTCCAGCCACTGAGGTATCTGCATGGAACCCTAAGACACAGCCTTCCAATGGCGGATCCCTGTCAGAGTCAGTCATTTTATAAAGAGAATCTGAGGTCCATAGAGGGAATCTTCTTCTAGGATCTAGAGGAGTGAAGTCCCTCTGGTCTTCTGTGCTAGTCCCTATAGCTGATGACCATGGATCCTGTGTCAGCCTTCAGTCTAGAGGTCCCCTCCTTCTGTGGACCTGAAGCCTGGCTGACCTTTCTCTGTACCCAAGGCCACCCCAGAACAGCTGCTTTTCTCTGCTCCTACTCCAGGCTGGATGTGACAGTGTGAGAGTTGCTGGGTAAGGTTTGTCCATCTCGCCAGCAATAATTCCACTTCTGGGGTCAATGCATTCATCATTTGGAGGGTCAGTCTGAGACAGTTGGGACAAAGAGGTTATTGCTAAGATGTGTGTTTCAAATTAGATTTTGAGCTCAAAGTAAGACACGAGTCTCGAAAATAGGATTTATTGGGAAAAATATACCTCTTGAACACTCAGAGATTATGACTCTTGAGGTACCCTGTACCTTGTACACTTATACCCTGAAAAGGCCCAATACTCTGACTTCATGTGTTTATACCTGATACACTTCTTTGCTTAAATCATCCTTCCTTTTGGTAAATTCTACTGATCCTTCCCCCTCTTCCTCATACTTTTTCAATCAATCAACCAACCCTCTGTGTTCTGGTAGCACCTTCTCCATACATTTATTATAGCTCTCATTGCATGTGAGAATGCACATCTTTTTCTCCCACTGACTCTGAGCTTCTCTTGTGAATAAGAAATATGTCTTATTCGTATTAGATGCCTCAGCTGCCACTAACAACAACACTCATGGAACCAGCTACATGTGCTGATTGACAGGGTAATTCAGTATTGGCTGGAGTTATGAGAAATGAGGGTCTTTCTCAACCACAGACTTTTTGAGAAGTTGCCAACTAGTAATAAGTCACCATTCATTATCTGCTTGGTCAAATTGACAATTTGTTGAGAAATAAAATGACTGTGTGAATATCCTGTTATTGGTCATTCAAGTTTCTGGTGGACAGGCCCAGAACTCACCTTTGGTCTCTTTCAGTAACAAGGCTTCTTAAACATTCTTCTGTTTGTTCATCCACGCTGGATCTGTTCCAAGACAGACATGTTGCTATGGCCAACATAGCCAGTAATGACACATTCTCCCTAGTGCTGGCCACAGCCCCTGGTAACTGTCAGCCTTTCAGATATGACTGACAAGAGTGAAAAACAAAATCTGTGGGAAGAAAATATGAAATTAGGTCCCAGCTCTAATTCCCTCATTATGTAAAGATGATCTCATGCTTTCTGAGAGTTGTGTGGTGAATCTCATGTGATCTTGAGACAGAGAGGGCTTTCGAAAGGGAGAACTGATTTTTCTGACAGACACATGGGCCTGGATAAGGAGGCCTTTGGCCAGTGAGCACTGAAAGATAAACTAAGATCCATTTTCCAAATTCACACTGTACATCAAGGCTGCAGAAAAGAGTCAGTCCTTTTCAACAACTGCAACAGAACTGAAGCCACTTCATTTGCAGGAGTCTATAAAAACTAGATTATTCCAGCTCCATTTCCTTAAGCCAAGAGCAAAGCAACCTCAGTAATAGGAAATATCAGCTCTCATGTGTCCCTTAATCTCTGCCTTGTCACCTGAGACTTTTCAAATTTTGTGTTGATATAATACCACCCCCAACCTCATAACAGGTTGCCTGTCCAGTCACTTTTGGTCCCAACTTTATAGTCAAACATTCAAAACACAATCTTCTTGTGTTCAAGTAAGCGCATTTATTTAATCACATGGGATTTACCATATTTATTGTCAAACAATTGGTACTTTCTTCCCAAATGCCTCCAGGATTTCCAGCTAGCTGATGCAGCATTCACGTTTCTAATAGAAATAGCAAGCAAGAGCACAAGAGAGAAATGTTTGTATCTTGCTGAAATGTGTAGTATCCAGGGTTATCACTGAAAGGCATTTGAGACGAGACCACAGAGAAAGGAGAATTCAAGGAACTATTTGGAAAGACAAATCACATTAAGGGTGTTTATTTGGATTTCTAAAATTTCCCTTTCTCTGGCTTTATTTAAATTTCATTAATATGAAGCTATTCAACCTGAGAAACATTTTTTTTCCTACATAGTTTACTCACTTGACTTTTATAAGCAGCCAGACAGCAAGACTGATCCTAAACAAGCTCTTGTTGATGTGAATAAGGCTCCCTATTTATTGAATTCAGAGAACTTAAAGTGAAAATGGTCCTTTAAATGTAATATCCCAAAATCACCGGAGTCCATGCCCTCTAGAGAAGCCAATAGCTTATGCACCTTCCCTTAGGAAGCTGACCAAGTTTGTTACCTATAAAACCAAGAAGGTGTATGATTGCTCTCAAGGGCAGGAGTTGAACTATGAGGTTTTAATTCCTAAACTGGATCCAATTCAATAAGCTTTAGCCCTGATCTTTTCCAATTTGTGTTAACTAACTTCTAATTAAGCAAGGTTTGTTTTAATGAAGTCAGAAGCCAGGTCTTGCCTTTCCTACCTAGACTTTCAATATTGCAGAGCTCTTTCTTAATTAAAGTGAAGAATTCCCTTTGGCTTCCACAGCCAGAATTTTCCATTTGTTCCACTCAGGATGCCAGTTGGCTTCCACATCCTGCAAACATGTGCCTCTGGCACAGCTGGACAATTTATGAACTTCTATGGGATTAAAAAGGTGCCATATCCTTGGGAAACATTCCTAATAACCTGAATTCCTATTTATTCTCTCCAGTGATCTATATTTTCCAAGTATCAATAAGCAAGTGAGTAGTGGAGGCAGGGAACAGTAAGATGTCAGCACCCTGTTTCCAGAGAAATTGCCCTCTCTCTCTTTTTCTTTCTCTTCCTCCTCCCTCCCCACCCCCATCTCTCTCTTTCCCTGCCTCTCTCTATTCCTCCAGCCCCCCCCCAACCCCCCCCCCCTCTCCAGAGCCTGAACTCAATGAAAATCGATTTGGGCAGGCTTCATTCAGAGCTCTGGCTCCTATTCTGGTATAGTGGGGCAACTTGAAGATACAGGAGAGAGGCACCCTAGGCTGTCCTTACAGCTGCCTAGGATGTGTGGAAGCACAAAGGTACACTTCCATTAGAGTTATGCAGGTCACCACAACTGGAACCAAAAAGACCCATTTGTAGTTCCTGCCTTCCTTCCGACAATTGGGAGACTCTGAAAGACACCTTCACTACTCTGAGTCTTGGTTTTCTCATCTGCAAAGAGCAAATGTACGCACAACTAGACCAGTGCTTCTCCAACTGTGATGAAGATAACCCCCCCCACACACACCCATTGTTGACTGATCTTTAGGGAAGTACAATAAATAAGTTTCTAAATGCTTACCCTCGCTTTCTACATTTATTTCACCATGAATTGGTTAAAACGTACGGACCAGTGGTGGCCCATGGCCAACACCTTGAGGAGTAGTGAACTAAACAATACCTTAGGTTCTTCCCAATCCTCACAGTTTCCACTTCCCATAACCAGCCTGCACCTCCACTAGGTTTGCCCAAGCACCCAAATGCTCAGCGTGGTGGCAAGGTCAAGATTACATTTCTGGAACGCCTTAATCTGTTGGGACTTCTATGGCAAAATATCATAAACTAGGTGGCTGATAAACAACAGAAATTTATTTTTCATAGATCTGGATGATGGGAAATCCAAGATCAAAAGACCCATGATTTCGCTGTCTGGTGAGGGCTTATTTCCTGGTTCATAGTTAGCTATCTTCTCACTGTGGAGACCTCAGGGATGAGGGATAGCTATTGTGCTTCTTGTATAAAGACATTAACCCCGTTCATGAGGACTGTATCCCGGTGCCCCAATCACGTCTTTAAGGCCCCCAACCAAATACCATCATATTGAAGGTTAGAATATCAATTTATTAAATTGAGGGTGGGGGACAAATAGTCTGCAGTATGGAAAAAGCAAGAAATATTGAAATATTCGCTTGAACAACTAAAAGTATTTCTGTATCTGTATCTCCCTCTACCTGTCAATCTACAGTCTGGAATTCTTGCCCTACCACTTTTGGTATCAAGGGATCAAAACCAAATTTATTTAATCTTTCTGTGCCTCAGTTTACTCACCTCTAAAATGAAAGTAATTATGATAAGGTCTTAGCAGTACTTTTGGTAAATGTTTATACTGATATAACTTCAGATTTAGAGAAAAGTTGCTAGATAAGTATAAAGAATTCTTACTTTTTTTTCAGATTTCTTCTTTTCCCACTTGCTTCATCATTCTCTTCTTAACCCCCTCTACCTTTTTCTTTTCTGACTTATTTGAGATTAACATGCATCCATCATGCCCCAGAAGATCATCAAGATAATTAAAGGAATTGATACATGTGAAATACTCAAAATACTGCCTGGCATACACAGTAAAGCCTCAAAAAACATTAACTATTGTGCTTGATTTTCAAAGGTCTTTCCAGATATTAAAAAGTGATCTCAAACACTAGTCATTAGGAACTACCCAACACAGACTCTCCAACATGCTGTAGGGTCTACTCCTTTGGCTCTGTCCTGCTCAAAGATTTATGCCTAATTCATTTATTTTCAAATGTGTTGGATTTGACCAATGTAAAAATGTTTTCTATGTGTAGCTAACTTCTAACACTGGTACTGAGTGTATCTGCTCTAAATTACTCTGTTATTAAATCAAAAGAACTTTGTTTTTTTGTTTTTTTACAAAATTGCTGTACTACTGTTAACATAGTATTAAACTGATGAGTAGTGATGAGGAGACCAAATCCTCACCCACTCTTTCAGTTCTTTGGGGAAAACAGAGGAACACTGATTTCCAGGAAATTCAAATATGACCCTTTGAACAAACTCCCCTAAGCATCTCAAATGCCTCCTATTTCTGTTACCCAATATGTCTATGCTTTCTGACTCAGAAAGAAATGCTGATATGCATAATGCCTCCTCTAACCCTGGTACTGGTTTAGGTTTAAGCTGAACCAGAACTTTCCTTTCTCATATTTACCCTGGGTTCCTTTGCTTCCTGATTTCCTGCTTCATCCAGATCCTGCTGAGCTGAATTGAATTAAGGGTGGAAAAAAACACTGATTCACCTTCATCTTCCTGTATCCAGATTCAGCTGCAGGAAAGAACAGAAAGACTGTTAATTCCACATTCATTTTATAAATCATGCCACGTGAGTCAGTTACCAGAAAGGAATCAAATCACAGAGGCATGTGGTATCCAGAAAGGCTCGCTCTTTTCTACAGCCAGAATCTAGAAGATTGGGTGACCTTCCCAGGTAACTCATTGCCCTTTGCAGAACATTAGAACAAGGTCCCCATGCCTTCGAGGCCCTTGTGCTCAGAACTACCATGTGACCAAACAAATCCTATCATTGCCCCAGCAGGGTCCATCTGTCTTATGACTTTGTGGCAGACAATGTCTGGAGGAGGAAATGGAGGCAAAGTAGATACTTCTTTCATCCTAAGATGAATTCCATATGTACATCTAGAGCCAACGTAGCCTCATATCACTCCCTCCTAGGTAGACTGAATGCTCTGTTCCCTAGAAAACCTATCATTTACACCATGCAATTTGGTACTTGGTTAAAACATTTTTTGCACAATGTGTGCATCTTGTTCCTTGGGCTAAGTTGTCAAGGCCTAGAGAGCCAGGCCATGTCTGAGACCTCTTGTTCCCTTCAGAGCAGTCTCAGAATATGCTGGGTAGTAAGTAGGTGTGAAGTTTGTCCCTATAGGTGCCCAAATTAAAAAAAAAAATTTAAAAACAGGGAAATCATGTACCTGCTCTGTCAAACAATTGGCTCCCTTCCCTCTGGCTAGTGGCAGAAATGCTGGCTCCTCCACTATAGCATGGATACCTGGATAGGCTGCCCTCCTGAAAAGGAACCAATGTTTCTCTGCTGTCATGACTCAGACACCTGAAAGGGGCAGTTCCCACTCACACTATCCCACAACCCACCTGGCTCACACATTTCTGTTCTGGAACCACCCTCTTCTCAAAGAATTCAGAGACTTACTAACAACTAGCTCATTTAAAAATCTAAAATATATTCCTTAAAAAGTTAAACATAGGGCTGGCAGTTTCCTTCAGTGGTAAAGTGCTTGCCTAGTGTGTGTGGGGCCCTGGGTTCAGTTACCAACACAGTAAAAAAAAAAAGTTAAACAGAAAATTACTATTTATCTATTTACACTATAATTCTTCCTCCAGGTATATACCAAAGAGAATGGAAAATATATGTCCACACAAAAACTTATATATGGGTATTCATAGCAGCATTACTTATAATAGCCAAAAAGTGAAAATAACCCAAAAGTCCATCAACTGATGAATGGAATAAAATATGGTCTATCCATACAATCTTATTTGTTTTTTTTGTTTTTAATTTTTTTTTATTGGTTGTTCAAAACATTATAAAGCTCTTGACATATCATATTTCATACATTAGATTCAAGTTGGTTATGAACTCCCAATTTTACCCCAAATACAGATTGCAGAATCACATCGGTTACACATCCACATTTTTACATAATGCCCTATTAGTAACTGTTGTATTCTGCTACCTTTCCTATCCTCTACCATCCCCCCTCCCTCCCCTCCCATCTTCTCTCTCTACCCCATCCAATGTAATTCATATCTCTCCTTGTTTATTTTCCCATTCCCCTCACAACCTCTTATATGTAATTTTGTATAACAATGAGGGTCTCCCTCCATTACCATGCAATTTCCCTTTTCTCTCCCTTTCCATCCCACCTCATGTATCTGTTTAATGTTAATCTTTTCTTCCTGCTCTTCCTCCCTGCTCTGTTCTTAGTTGCTCTCATTATATCAAAAAAGACATTTGGTATTTGTTTTTTAGGGATTGGCTAGCTTCACTAAGCATAATCTGCTCTAGTGCCATCCATTTCCCTGCAAATTCTATGATTTTGTCATTTTTTAGTGCTGCGTAATACTCCATGGTGTATAAATGCCACATTTTTTTTATCCATTCATCTATTGAAGGGCATCTGGGTTGGTTCCACAGTCTAGCAATTGTGAATTGTGCTGCTATGAACATCGATGTAGCAGTATCCCTGTAGTACGCTCTTTATTTGGCCATAAAAAGTAACAAAATGCTAATACATCCTAAAACATGGATAAGCTCAAAAAGCAAAACACTTCAAAAATTCACAAAGTGAATTAAGTCAGATACATGAAATTATACCATTTATATGAAATATTCAGAACAGGCATGTCCACAGAGGTAGAAGCAATTAGTGGCTGACAGAGGCTGGGAGAGGGAAAGGAATATGGAGTGACTATAAATGAATACAGATTTCCTTTTGGGGTGATGAAGATATTCTTGAAATAGTGGTGATGGTTGTACACATCTATGAATATGCCAATATTGCACATTTTAATGGGTGTGGTTTATGACATGTGAATTATATATGAATTTTTTAGTTGATTAGGGAATAAAATAGAACATGAAACTTAAACTACAATGACAATAAGAGACTGTGGTGTCAAATTAAGGGTTAACTGTAGCTTGTTGATTTTACTACTGCCACAGCCGGGCTTGCCTCCCTCCTTTCTGGGTTTCACTCAGATTCTGCACAGCAGACTGAAGCTTTTCATCACTGGGTGCCCTGCACCTCCCACCCAATGTTTGGATCAGGACTGTCACCTGTCACCGAGCTGTTGGGCTTATCTCAAGTGGGTTTTGATCTGGTCCTACCTCTTTGGACTGTGTTAGCCTCAGGGCTCTGGCTTCTCCATTTCCACAATGCCAGTGCTTGTTTCTGTCAAAAACAATCATCTGTCTTTCATTGTAGTGCAGATGATACCCAAATGTTATCCTTCTCCATCAAACTGTCAGGCTAATTGTTTATAAAACATCCGGAACTGGTTGTCACAAAACATCAGCTAACTCAGCCCAATTAAAACAGAACCCCTTGGTTGAATACAGCCCCCATGTGAGGGAGAACCCTGATGACATTTATGGGGACAAAGGATCACAAACACCTTTCTTAATCCAATGACCATCAGAAACCAACGGGTGAAGCTGCTATCCTCAGACATGGATCTCAAGCAATTTCATTTTCCTGTTATTAAGATGGTTTTGATTATTTTAAAACTATTTATGGTTTAAAAGGCTGACGACTTTAAGATTTGAGATTTAAATTTCTGCCATGGACCAAAATAAAGAAGGTGGATGCAGTTTCCCATTGCTGTAACCCCAGATCATAAAATTACTTACACAGGAGTAGACTTGGAATTTGATGGGCATGTTCATACGGTTTTCCTCCTAGCCTCAACCTCCCTATGATGGAAGAAGAACTGATGGAATTATTTTTAGTTTTCACCTAGAGAGAAGTTCAGAGACATACTCAATATCACCAGAGTCATCCCCAATAGAGTATAATCCTGTGCATTCTCAGCTTAGTGGTCTTTCCAGAGCAAAGAGAGGATGTTGGGTTTAGCTTGAGTCAGAAGACAAATCTTCCTGACCACTGTTGGTCCAGCACTTCTCTGTTCCTCTGCTCAGATTCCCAAAATGTTCCTTACCTACAATTTTTCTCCTTCTAAAAGTTATGCTGTTTCTCATTTGTAGCCTTTTCTTTCACATAGTCACCTGAGCCAATGAGCAGCATTGATTTTTAAGAGATTGGTTAAGCTTCTAGTAGGTACCGAATACTGTGCTAGGCTGATACAGAAATAATAATAAAGTCAGGTCTCTCATCCTTAAAGATGATCATAGATAACTGTTATGGTTTGAATACAAGGTGTCCCCCATATGCTCCTGTGAAAATTCAGGAATTTGGGGAGGTGAGATAATAGGATTTTGAGAGTTGTAACTTCATCAGTCCATCCTAGTTTGAATGAGCTAACTGGGTGGCAACTGTACATGAATAGGAGGCCAGGCAAAGTGTTAACAGGGTCTGAAAGGGCAATGCATGAGGTTGGGAGGCAAAGCCAAAACTGGAATGGAGACCCTAGGAATTTAAGATATACCAGATTTGTGGATTGTCTGCTGAGAAAAGATGATGTCTGAGAAGATCAGACCCTTTGCATATCCAGATATTACAGAAACTTTAGGTCTATTTTCTGCCTTATTTATGTCTCACAAGTTCATCTCCCAAGTCCAAGTCTTCTTTGGACTCTAAAGCTATTGGTCTCTTGAGGTAGACCAAGGCTAAGAAAGAGGCCATGAGTGCTACAACCCACAAAGCCAAAGGGGTAGGGTTTCCAAAGCCCTTTGGAGAATACATCTATTCATCATGGAGTCCAGATGCTGAATATGGAACTAGAGGACTTGTTTGACCATCTGGGTTTCAGTCTCGTTTTTGACCCATCCCTTCTTTCCATGGCCCTATTCCTTCTTTTTGGAATGTGAATATTTACTCTGTATCATTGTATACTGAATACATTTATTTGGTTCTGATTTTTACAGTGGTTTGCAGCCAAGAGTTTGCCTTGAGTCTCAGATGAGACTTTGGACTTGGACTTTTGAGCATGCTGGAACTGTTAAAATTGTGGGGACACTTGGAGATGGACTAAATGCATTTTTCATTGTGAGATAGACATGAGCTTTTGGAGGCAAGGAGCAGAAAGTTGTGGTTGGATTATGAGAGATGTGATCTAATCAGTCCATCCTAGGTTGAATGGACTGATTGGGTGGTCACTGTAAGCAAGTGGGGCATGACTGGAGAAGTTGGGCCACTGGGGGCATGCCCTGGAAGGGTTCATCTTCTCTGTAGCCACTTTTTCTCTCTCTTTTCCCTGGCCACCATGATTAGAGCAGCACTCCTCTATCTCACCTTCTGCCATATTGTTCTGTCTAACCTTGGATTTAAAGAATTGGAGTCAGCCAACAATGGACTAAATCTCTGAAACCATGTGTCAAAATAAACTTTCCTCCCCTAAGTTGTTCTTGTCAGATATTTTGTTCACAGCAACCAAAAACTGACTAACCCGATAGCCTAATTGTCTCTAGGACCTACTTACCTCTGACTCTGAACTTCAGGCCCTTTGCATATCCAAATATTGCAGAACTTTTACGTCTGTTTTCTGCCTTATTTATATCCCACAAGTTCATCTCCCGAGTTTATCTTCTTTAGACTCTAAAGCCATTGGTCTCTTGAGGTAGACCAAGAAAACTTTATTGATTAGTTATAGACTTCTAACATAGATAAACAAATATAAATACACCTTACATGCACCTTACATGTCCACTGTGGTACAGGAGGTATAGATACATGGCAGGATGTTCAAAGCCTTGGTATCCTTATTTTACCTGGGTGCAGTCAGCTACTCAGCTGCTATCACATATGGCCACAGCAGCTGGGGCTGAGCAGGATGCTGACCATAATCGCTACTCTGAATATAAAATCAATATCCACTGGCATTGCCTTTCCCAAATACAGCTTTTACAATTAAGCTGCAAACTTTAAAGAGTTTCTACTTTCTTAACAGTAGTCATGGTCCTGTCAGAAGAATAAGATTTAAGTAAGAGCTGTCTGTGTTCACACTACCTTTCTATTGCCAGACCACTATTGATGCTTCCCCATACTTGTAACAGAAATAAGACCTGTTAAAATATAACTTTCAGTAAGGTAGAATCTTGATGCTTAGCCAAATACAAAATGAACACCTATCAAATATTTTATGTAACTCGGTAATTAATGAAATAAACACAAAGACATTAGCATGGTTCAAAAGAACATGTGAGGTGTAAAACACTGATTGATGTCTTACAGGACAATAAACCTTTTGGGGATAACTCTTCCATTAGACAGGATTTTGTGTCTCTCTTTTGGAAAAGATCCCCACAAGTTAATCTTTGTTCCAACAGAGTTTTAAAATAGACAATCCACAGAAAGTTGAACCTAGGACTTTACTGAAAAAATACTCAAGATCTCTCACTGGGCTATTTTGAAGTTTCTTGTAACTTTCTGACAGATCCTGCTGCTGGAACTTAGAACTGACTCACGGAGTCTTGTGGGAGTGAAGTCTTTATTATCTGGTGTTTAAAGTTAGACATCATTACCCTAAGTACACATATGAAGACACAAATGGTATGAAAATACTTTGTGTACAATCAGTGACTTGAAAAATTGTGCTCTATATGTGTAATATGAAATAAATTGCATTCTGCCATCGTGTATAACAAATTAGAAGAAATTTTTAAAAAAATGACCAGAACTGTTTATCAATTAACAGGTACCCACCACCATTCTCTAAAATTGGATAAATGGCCATTATCCTTCCTCCACACAGCCCTTAGATGTTCCAAGGTCAAATTTTCTTCGCTTTAAATGCACCCCAGTGTGACTTAATGAGAAGAGGATGCAAACAAACCTGATGTGCAAGTGGACCAGGAAAATTTGTGTCAGGAACTCCTGCCCAATAAGCATACAGCATGAAAACACTCCATGAAGCCTTCAACTACTTGCCATGATCATGTTTTGAAACAGACAAATGCAATTTTAAGAATGCTGGAATGATTTTAGAACCAAGCAGGAATATCTATCATAAAATAAAGAAGGCATTCAATGTTTAAAGAGATATGGACCATCCAAGTCATTTCTATCACCCCCGCCTTTAATCCCAGCTCTCCACCAGAGCACTTCAAAGCCTAAAAGAACAAGTAAACACCGAAAAAACAGAAAAATAGAATTCCTAAAATTCTATCACTCATGATAGGCAAAACTAAGAACACAGAATAGTTGGGGTTTCTTACAGAAATCAGTGTACACTGTATAAGAATGAACATTTTAAATTATAATAAAATTTTATAGTTCTTAGATTTTGGTTTTATAAATATATCTATTCTCATATAAAATTGTTCACATCCATAAACTAGTTATATCTATTACTGTTAGCTTTGTTTTCTGTATATTCCTTCATTAGAAGTGCAACTCCCAATTATAATATTCTTCAACCAATGTTTTGGTGGGACTGTTTGTGATTTAGGGTAGAATTTTGAGAAATCTATTATTTTCTGTGTAGGCTCAGTTATATGGTGGACAAATAACCCCAGAATTTCCCTAGTTTAAAACAAGAAAGTTGTGTTGGCTTCATGCAACATGATCACCTTGGGTTGGTAGGGGCCTTGCTCCCTTAGTCCTCATTTAGTACAGGCCAATGGAATAGCCACAAATAAAGGCCTTGCTAGGTGTCACAGAAGAAAGAAAGAAAGTGTGGCACATCACACATGCATACATAAAGTGCTCACCCAAGAGTGCCTTCTGCCACTTTCTCTTACATTTCATTTTGGTCAAAGCAAGCCACATGACCATGCCTAATCTCAAAGAGGCAGGAAGTGCAATCTGAAGGGGAGAGTGGATATTTATGACTAACCCTAGTGGCTACCAAAATTTGTTTGGAAAGTGGAGACTCCTGGTTTTTGTTATTAATGATTTTGTTTAGTAGTAGGAATTGAAGCCACTTAATCACTAAGCCTCATTTTTATTTCTTATTTTGAGACAGGGTCCCTCTAAGTTGCTTAGGACCCTAAATTTGCTGAGGCTGGCTTTGAACTTGCAATCCTCCTGCCTTGGTCTCCCCAGCAGCTGGGACTATAGGTATGAGTCACCACATTTGGCAAGGCTCCTGTTTTTACACAAGTTTTATTCTTTTATCTATATTGATCTAGTTATTTACTAGCAACATGTCTATGGCATTAGAATAGGGATATATTTTGATCTATCAATTTAAATTTCAAGGCATCTGAAACATTAACCAAATACAGATTTGTGTGTGTGCCCTTATTTCAGGCAAGATGCCATAGAAATTAATAAGACTAAGTCCCACAAGCAGATCCTAAGTTGGGTAATTTGATTCTGAGCCAGAAGACACAGTTTTCTTTTGGAAAGGGCTGAGATTTGGTATTGGCCATAGTTCCTTTTTCCATAAGTCCTGAATCTGTCAACCTCCACAGCACAGAGGGTTCATTTGTCACACCTGGCATTCATCTGAACTAACACTGGTGTTGTGAGGAAACTTAATTTTAGCAAATTTTGGTTAGCAGGTGATTTTGTGGTTTCAACTTTATTTCTGTGTTATTAATTTTTAACACCCAGCTTAGAGTTGCTGAATCCAGGCTTCAAAACATAAAATTCCCTAACCTGGCGGGGTTAGGTGCAGGTGGAAAAAAAAGAGCCATTGCCAAAAATTCTCAGGAGGTCAGAGGCCAGGTTCAAGGCCTTAGTGTCAGCTCAACAAGAGTTCACCAAGACGAGAATGGTTCACAGTCCACTTTGGCTCCTCCAACGAAAAGGTATTCAAAGAAACTCATAAGAGCACTTGCTGTTAAGTGATACTAAAAGCAAAATTAAGCAGGTCATATAATTCTAAGATGTGGCTAGCACAGAATGCAAAACCTTTACCTGTTAACCAGATTCAATGATTTCATTGGGGTTTCTGAATCCTTCAGGTAGGAACCAGTGTTAGGATCCTGCAAGAAACAAACAGTACATTCAGCTTGGATTTTAAAGGAGATTTTTAGTGGTAGGATTGTTCACAGAGGGATGATCAGGATTAAGGAAACCTCAACAGACGTTGGGGAACCCAATGACTAGCAACAGCAGGAAGCCATTACCACCACTAGACCTGAAGAGGCAGGACCCGGAAATTCTATCACCAGAGCTTGGTGAGAGCAGCAGGCTTAGAAGGGGGGAAGCCCAACAGGAACCGTGACCCTGGAGGAACATGGCCAAGGCAGAGGGGGGTGGCAACAAGTAGCCACATGACCTTTGTCTCACTGGTCAAACTCAGCATCAAACCAGAGGGCAAATGACTCTGGACAAAAGAGACCATCAAGGCTGGTCTCTTGAGGTACAGACCAGAGAAGGGCAGAGAACGTATTTGGCTGGCTTATCTCCTTGCCTAATTAAAAGATGCTGTGTGTAACCGTGTGCAAATGTTTTATGCTTTTTTCCTTAATTTGGCAGACTAGTTAAGTTCAATTCTCCTTACTTTCACTTTTGAATCTGAGACAGCTCCTAGAAGCCAATTTATAAATTAAAATGTAAATAAGCAAATGCTTCTCTGTTTGTTATCTGAGGATATCACAAGCTTGTTGTAGATTCAGGATCTCATCACATATACAAGAAGGAAGAGATCTTAACTTATTTTCATTTCTAAACAGATTATTTTTCAGAGAAACTTTAGGTTCATAGCAAAATTGAGCAGAAGGCGCAGAGACTTCTCACATCCCATTGGTTCTCACACAGGTATAGCCCCCACTATCCAAACCCTGTACCTGAGTGATAACATTTTTTAGAACTAATGAAACTACATTGACACATCATTATCACCCAGAGTCCATGATTTCCGTTAGGGTTCACTCTTGGTACTGTATGTTCTGTGGGTTTTGATGAGTGTATAATGACATGTCTCCTCCACTGTATCATACAGAGCAGTTTCACTGCCCTAAACTCAGTTCTGTGTTCTGCCTATTCATCCAGATTTTAAGTTTTAGACATTGTGGTAAAAAGTCTCAAGAGATTGTATTCAGAATTTCAAAATATATGGTTATGTTCCTGATACACAAACAAAACAAAAATAATATACAGTAAATTGGGGGGAAAAGTAATGATATAGTTAAGTGTATTGTTATAGACAACATAACTAATTTACCAAATTTTAAATATTTAAAATATATCTATAACTATTTGTAACCAGCATGTCAAACAAACACAATTAGTGACAAATCAAAACTCAATTTCATTTTAAATATGTGCTTAGTTAAGGGTACTCACCCCTAGTCCCCAAGAAAAATGCTGACTTTCCTGGCCACTTTAAGACCTAAAACACAGTCTCAATTAATAAATAGAAATAGCCCCAGCCAAAATGTTAATTATTATCTAAGATCAAGTTAGAAAACAATCTTCCCTTCCTCATCCAGAACATGCTTCAAGTTAGACTACTGTGGGGGTGGGCTGTGGTTACCATATACTCTCTTCCTCTGTGTTTTTTCTCCTTTGGTAACTGGAGTCTCAGCCCCTGTGACTGGTACAGAATGAAACAAGAACAATAAGGAGAGCTAAGAGAAGTTTCTTCCTCATTCACGGTTTTGCTCTCTGAGCCCAGTATATGTCATATCCATCATTTCTCCCATGGACACTCCTAAAGACTCACTGGAGGCTCCTCTGCAGGACCTCCTTGACATAAGTGATGCTTTCTGTCTCTCTGGCTGCTGTTCCCTGCTCTGCCCTGGTTATCTCACTGTTGGAGCACAAACTCTTACTGTTGGAGCTTCTTCAATCCCCCAAGCTATACTTTTGTGTAGGAATTTATGCTAGCTACCTATTGCTGTGTAACAAGGCACCCTAAGTCTTCATAGTTTAAAATACCACACATTCATTATCTTAGAATTCCTGCGATCAAGAATCCAGGCTTGGCTTAGTTGAGTCTTCTGCTTCAGGGTCTCTCACAAGGTTGGTGCTACAGTCATCTCAATGACTAGCTGAGTAAGAGCTGCTTCCTAATTCACTCACACAGCTGTTATCAAGAGTCAGCTCCTCATGGACTATTGCACAGAGAGCCTTAGCTGCTCTCTGGCTTTTGCCTGAAGGTCAGCCTCAGCTTCCTGTAAAGTGAGCCCCTCCAATGTAGGAGCTTGTTTCATACAGCACACAAGCTGAGAAGGCAATAGAGAGTCTAGCAACATAGAAGTCACAGTATTATGTAACCTAATCATGAAAGAGACATCCTATCACTTTTTTCTTATTCCACTCATTAAAAATAAGTCACTATAGGTCTAGCCCCTCTCATGGAGAGGAAATTATATAAGTTCATGGATATCAGGAGGCAGGAACCACTGAAAGCCATTTTTTTCAAAATGTCTAACACAGTCATAAAGTTTTAGCTCATCGCTCCCTGCCCAACCCATCTATGGTCCACAGGAAACACCCAGGCACCCTCTCCCTAATAGATGCTGGAACAGAGTGTCCACCTCTTCCCATCTGCCTCTACACTCCTTAGCTTTCCTGGGCATAAGTCAGGTACCAGTCCCTGACCCTTCCAACTGCAGTTCCCCTCAAGCCTATGCACCAAATGGCCTTCTGAAGCTTCCCCTCTAGAAAGACCTGATATTAGAAGACAGGTCCTCCACAAACACTTTTCCCTGTGAAGAGGAAGGGTGGGAACTCACAAAGAGCAATAAGTCTCTCCCAAGAAGATCCAATGACAACCCTCCCTCCTGTCTTTTTCTCCTCCTCCTCCTCCTCCTCCTCCTCCTCCTCTTCTTCTTCTTCTTCTTCTTCTTCTTCTTCTTCTTCTTCTTTTCTCTCTCTCTCTCTCTCTCTCTCTCTCTCTCTCTGCCATTTTATAGTCTCAAAGTGATTTAGGGTACTCAAAAGTTTCAAAATCGTGGCACTGCTTCTTGAACATGGCTTTTATAGAGTCTGCATGTGACAATCTGCTTCGCACCCATTTTAGTGTCAATATCTATCATTCTGTGTCTCTACACATTTACAATCATCCTCCTTTGATGATTAAAAGTGCCCTCACTTTTTTTCTCACTAATTTTATACTATTTACACTTTGATCATCCAATTCCATGTTCTCTGGGGGAAAAAATGCATAGGCACCCACTTCACTAATACCAAACCATTTTTCTCAATAAAATCATAGCTGTATGTTCTCTCTGATAAGTGGATGTTGATCCATAATGGGGAGCTGGGAAATAGGAAAATGGAGGAACTTCGATTGGACAAAGGGGAGTGAGGAAAGGGAGCGGGCATGGGGGCAGAAAAGATGGTGGAATGAGATGGACATCCTTACCCTAGGTACATGTATGACTGCACATGTGATGTGATGCTACATCGTGTACAACCATAGAAATGTAAAGGTGTGCTGCAATTGGGTACAATGAATCAAAATGCATTGTGCTGTCATATATACCTAATTAAAATAAATAAATTAATTTTTAAAAATCATAGTTGTAAACTGATCACGGACAATCCATTTAAAATGCACAGATGTGTCCTTTCTGTTTACTAGATTAGTCTCATTTTAAGCTTGATTCTGAGATGAGCACATCATCTTCTTTTCTTTTTCGTATTGTTTCCACTAAACAGATTCTATAACAATCTCCTTCAGAAAAACAAAGGGATAGTGTGGAGTGGCATACAACCCATATGTTGTATTTGTCTGAGCTCATTTATCAGAATGATAAATGCCTGTAGTATATCCCTTTAAACACTTAATAAAACTATTTGGATTTCTAACTACACTGGTTTGTTTTTAGAATGCTATTTCCACTAACTTAAAATGCCACATTACCAGCAGACTTGGATGTTTAAATTTGAAGTTCTAAGAGCCGGATTCTTGTTGTCTGCAATTGTAGAAAGATAGTCCTGTGAGACTGTTATCTTGGTTTATAAAGTAGCAATATTTCATTTATCATTCCCAAGTACTTTATCATCAGTTTCACTAGGTTTGGCCAGAGGCAAGAAAGTTAGAATTCCTTTTATTTTATTTTATTTTTTTCTGTGAATAAGAAATAGACATAGAGATGAACTGATCAGTGCCCAGTTACATGTCAATGAGTGTATGAGTGAATTCGCCAAGGAAGTAAATAGACAGAGGAGACCATCAAGCCCAGAACTTACAACCTATTAATAAAGAACTGGGATGAAATACCAAACAGAGATTCTGAAGGAGAGTCCAAGAAAGCACCATAAAAATCCCGAGACAATTATCCCCACAGACTCAGTGAGAGAAAGCACAGCAGAAAGGAGAGATTATTCCTTGGGTAGGGGCCTACTCAAAATAAGGGTTATCTGAAACTATCAAGGATTGGGAGAAGTTTGTTCTTCTCTGTAGGGTCCCTGCTGACCCAGGAAGATATTCGAGTCTTCTCCAGGAGCTCAGCAGAACTGACACCTGATTGACGTCTCACACTCCTAACAGGGACCAAAAGGCCTGAGCATGAGTCCTCCAATTCCTACTTCAAATAGCTTGAGGCCAGGGCTGCTGTCCTTCCACTATGTGTGTCTACTACCTGGAGCACAGTGAACTTTCAAAAACTACTTGTTGAATAAATAATTTAATAAATACACAATGAGGTAGAGAATTAGCCAAATTGAAAAGATCAAAGAGAAAAATAAGTGAGAGGAGAGAGGTTTCAGGCAGTGCCCTCAGGGAGCAGAAGTCCATGGGTCCTTGGTTTCTACTCAGGATGGGTGCCAGCCTGACATCTTTTGCTCAAACTTTTCTGCTTTAGCAACCTCAAAACTTCACTTTCTCCCCTGCTCCCACAATCTACACTTCTGAACATTTGTCTTCCTTTGGCATATGTTGGTTTTCTGGCTTTTAATCTGACCTACTTTCTCTTCTGTTCCCCTGACCTCTTTTTTCTCTGATCAACCCTCAAATATCCTCCCCCCGCAACTTAATGTTTGAATCCCCCCACCCAGTTCCACATTTAGACACCTGCAGCAGACTCTAGCTTTCTCTCTATCAATTCTCCCATTATTCAGGAACTCTTATATCCCCTCCCCAAGTATGTCCTGGAACCGTCATCTGCAGAAGACAGGGACACTTGAACGTGGATGATAAACTATCTTAGATAGTGTCTCCGCAAAAACGCAAGTATATGATGTGAAGAATGTAGTTGAATTTTTAAACATCTATTATTATTGTTTTATTATTATTATTATTATTATTATTATTATTATTATGTAAAAGGTCTGAGAAGAGGGATGAGGAGGAGGGGGGAGAGGGAAAGGAAAAGGATGAAGAAAAAAAGATGGGGAAGAGAAAGAAAAGGAATAGGAGAAGAAGATTCGCCTTGTAATGCTTCAATGCTACAATGCTTCTCCCTAGAAATAACTTGCAGAAAAGTGACAAATTATTTCATTTTCTTTTTTTAACATTCTTAAGTTTTATGTGGGCATAATATCTTTATTTTACATTTATGTGGTGCTCAGGATCGAACCCAGTGCCTCGTGCATGCTAGGCGAGCGCTCTACCACTGAGCCACAACCCCAGCCTCACAAATTATTTCATTTTCTATGTCTCAGTGATCTGAACTTCCTAAAACTCTTTCCTCTACCCACAGCACACTTCTGCCCCTGATTTATCTGCTGATTCTGTCTTCGTAGATTCCTATCCCTATCCACAGCCATTATGCTGGTTGGTCCCCCACCTTCTCTTCTATGTGCTTTTCTTGTGTTTTCATCAATCCTTGGTTTCAGCCATCCATAGGACAACGTTGACGATGTCCATGTCTTCAGCCTAGGGCTCTGTTCTGTGATTCATGTCACCTTTTAAGCATCTTAACTTGCATGTGTTCCAAGCACTTGGAACTGAATACACCTATTACTGAATTCATCATTTACACCAACCCAATCCAGATTGTATAATGCGTAATTGAAATTGGTTCCACCAGTCACCTTGCTGGTCATATCAGACCTCCCCTTCCCATATGCACACACTTAATCAATTCCTGTTAACTTCACTGCCTAAATTTATCTTGAATCCTTACAATTATTGCCTCTTCTCCTCCCCCCAAGCTCCTGCCATACTGCCTACTTAATATGAATATACCTCCTCTTGACCCCTCCAATCCATTCTCCTAATGGCAGCTGTGATCTTTCTAAAAACACAGCCTTGATTATGCTCATTTCTTACTTAAAGCCATTTCAGTTGTCTCCCCATTGTACATAGCGTAATGTCAGATTTCTTTAATGCAATCTAAAAGGACCTTGTCACCCGGCCCTTTCTTAGTAGTAGCCCTTTATGTTCTCTATGCTCCAACAGTTGCTTTCAGTTGCCCAAATGCA